CAGCGACGCCCCCCGGGCCGTGGCAGGGACGCCATCATTGGTACCCCAGGGGGTCAGCGGGGACATGACCGTAATCAGACCGGGGAGCTGGCTGGGGCAGCTTCTGCCGGGGAGCTGGCTGAGGCGGCTGGCCAATCTGTTCGGGACTGGGGTGACATCGGTGCACTGACTGTTTTGGGCCCTGGTGGGGATGCCACCATGACCAGACCAGGGAGCCAGCCGGGGAAGCTGCTGCCTGGGGGCGGGCTGGGGCTGAAGCGGGGAACCAGGCGAGGGCTCAGAAAGCAGCAGCGGCTGCTGGGGAGTGGGCTGGCATCTGCCCCTCCTCCTACTCTTCCCAGCTCCAGGACCTTCAGGACAGAGGGCCAACCTGGTACCGGAAAGAGGTGAGGGGTCTAAATCAGTGGGCAATGAAACATGGTCAGAGACCGGGGACATGTGAAGGATGCTCACTCGCATGGAGGGATAGATGAGCCAAGCGGTCTGAGAGAGTGAGGGCCTGGCACCAGCAGGACAGGGGCTCGCCTGGGGATGAAGGTACTCACGGGACAGGGCCTCCCTAAGTGAGCACAGCATGTGCTGGAATCCCTTCACCCACATGAGTCCCCCCAGCTCCCGGCGAGTGTCTGCTGGGGCTGGGTAAGGCTGGTTCATTCTGTTATTGCCGGGCGGCATGTGTATGGTGTGGACCCCAATAGCAGACAGACTAGAGGAAGGGGAACTAAAGAAAGCAGTTTATTGCGCAAACACAGGTTATGCTGGCTGGCAGGAAGACGAGCAGGCTCCGAGCAGGTAGGGAGCAACCAAGGAACCAAGAGACCAGGAGGGGACCAGGGCACCAGGAGACGAAGGAAGAGAGCTGGCAGCAGGAGAGACACAGGAACCAGAAGACGAAGGAGGAGAGCCAGCAGCTAGAGGGACACAGAAACCAGAAGAGAAGGAGGAGAGCCGGCAGCTAGAGGGACATAGGAACCAGAAAATGAAGGAGGAGAGCCGGCAGCTAGAGGCACATAGGAACCAGAAGATGAAGGAAGAGAGCCGGCAGCAGGAGGCACCCACACACGAACCAGAAGGCGAGCAGGTGAGCCGGCAGCAGGAAGCACCCACACAAACCAGAAGACAGCCGGCAGCTACACAGAGAAGTGGCGCACCGCAAACGCAGAGGCGGCAAGTGTTCAAACCAAACCAGAACCTAACAGAAAAAACAAACTGGGAAACAGGGAGAAAACATGGGGTGAGATGGCGTAGACAACCTGTAGCAGACAGCATGATCTAGGCGAAGATTGCGGTGAACGTCCAGGTCTGACATCGGAAAGAATCAGCAAAGAGGCGGCGGAAGACAGTAAAAGCAACACAGCTCATCACCCTGAACACACCATCCGCACTGTCAAACATGGTGGTGGCAGCATCCTGGTTTGGGCCTGCTTTTCTTCAGCAGGGACAGGGAAGATGGTTAAAATTGATGGGACGATGGATGGAGCCAAATACAGGACCATTCTGGAAGGAAACCTGATGGAGTCTGCAAAAGACCTGAGACTAGGATGGCGATTTGTCTTCCAACAAGACAATGATCCAAAACATAAAGCAAAATCTACAATGGAATGGTTCACAAATAAACATATCCAGAATGGCCAAGTCAAAGTCCAGACCTGAATCCACTCGAGAATCTGTGGAAAGAACTGAAAACTGCTGTTCACAAACGCTCTCTATCCAACCTCACTGAGCTCGAGCTGTTTTGCAAGGAGGAATGGGCAAAATTTAAGTCTCTTGATGTGCAAAACTGATAGAGACATACCCCAAGTGACTTACAGCTGTAATCGCAGCAAAAGGTGGCGCTACAAAGTATTAACTTAAGGGGGCTGAATAATTTTGCACGCCCAATTTTTCAGTTTTTTATTTGTTAAAAAAGTTTGAAATATCCAATAAATTTCGTTCCACTTCATGATTGTGTCCCACTTGTTGTTGATTCTTCACAAAAAAATACAGTTTTATATCTTTATGTTTGAAGCCTGAAATGTGGCAAAAGGTCGCAAAGTTCAAGGGGGCCGAATACTTTCGCAAGGCACTGTATATGTGTGACGGGACCGGGAGACAACAAGCAGCAGGTGGGTGAAATGATTACTGATCACGGTGACAGAGCAGGGAGGAGAGACAAGGAAAACAGAAACACAAAGTCATGACGCCGCGACGCGAAACCACAACACATACAGTATGTGCTTCAGCAATATAGCAAAAAAGGACTGAACAAAGACCAGATCGATTAACGGTCTGTGGTCTGATAAGGGGTATCAATAATTTTAGGACATTTGAATCTTTTTGGCATTAATTTGAAACCTAAAAGTTCACCACATTGTAGATATAATGCTAACCTTGGCCACTGCCATAGCCCTTCACTGACTAATGATGTAAACATGACTGGCATGTCTCTTGTTTCTGCAGCAGGCATTTTGTTTGGCTGGTTTGATGACTGGTTTTGATATCATGGTTTTGGAATGAGTTCTGTAGGATGGCATCAACCTTGTCAAATGCTGAATAGAAATGTGCATGATGTCACCACCTTGTGTTGCCTTCTGTCACTGTCATCTCAGAGTCATGCTCATAGTCATGATGGCATGTCTTTCTGCTGGAAAAAAACACAGGTTGTTGTTGCTGTTTTTTTCCAACCTCTTGGAGATAAGCATGGGTCTGTAAATAATTGAGACAAACAATGCCTTGCCACCATAGCCCCCGATGTTATGCAGACGTTCTGCAGTGGTCAGTTCTACCTGGTCAATGTACAGTGGCCAGTTTATAGGACGTTACATGTACTTATTGTGAGGCTTTGATAAACAAAGTGTATTTGTTTCAGCCGAGGGAACACATGCTGCTTGTGCCTCTATACTCATTCACTCCCCATTATTCCATGAAATACAGTATCTCTTGAGCCTTTGAGACAAAATGTAATCTCAGAGCCATGCACTGAGAAGTGTTGATGAATTTTTGTGATGGGACAAGCGCTGCATTGTTAACTGTCTCAATTTACTTCAGTATCCCTGCTCTCCCTCAGAAAAAAAGTCTTCCTCTAAAACATCATGATGTTGTGACCTTTGCTAATAAGCACAGTTGTCACTGTGGAGTGAAGGCCACACCCCCTAGAGTGTGATTGGCCCCTTTCTTGTGTCTCCAAGGTAACAAGACGATGAAAGTTGTACCAGTGAAACAACAACCCCCCATTACAGTGACGGATCTGATCGTAGGTGCCAAGTACCGTCTGAGGGTTTACTCCCATGAGCTCAACAGCATCAGCAGCAAATATGTCACCTTTAAGATCAAACCAGGTGAGATCACACCTGGCTTGGTGGAACCAGGGTTTGAGCCAGGTGGGCTACTCTGAGTGCAAGTGTATCAATACTAGTATCTACAGTAACTCAGTTAATGCTAGGTGAGTTATACTTATTCCAAAGGTAATCCCAAGTCAATTAGAATAATACACTTTACCTCTGTGTATCTGGATGCCATCAGATCTCAACTTGGTTGTCATTATAAGCAGTATCTATAATTCATAAAAGTAAAAGTTGCAATTTTGTTTGTTTTTTGAATTTGTTAGAATACAATGGATGCCTATAGTTCATATGACAAGGAAATTAACATGTTAAAAAAAAGCATGAGCATTAGCTAAAGTAAAACATACATGTTCTCATTCCCAGAGCATCAAATAGTGATGTTTTGTTTAGTACCTATTGTCATACTGAAGCTAAAGGGTGCCTTTAGCATCTGCATTTGCTCAGGGTTTTCATAACAGAACAGCATTAGTCCACTTACATTAGTACACAAGAACATCATGGTTGTGTTTAAGAAACTATTGTGGTTTGGGGGGAAAAAATTGATGGCGAACTTTGCTCTCCCTTCGGAAAGTTTGATAACTGTTTGACACACTATCCACCTCAGCCACCTGCTAAGGCAGACTTTCTCCTTTCATTTACTACAAGCTCCTGCTCTGGGCATCAAATATCGACATGAGTGGATTGAAATCCCTATGCATCTTATACAGACACCAAAGGCAGCCTTTGGCATTAGTATGAGACGCTAACAGTACTTCACATACAGTATTGTGAGTTTTTGATCCACTGGGAATGAGCATGAGCTGAAACATACTATGCCTTCTAGCCTTTGTTACAATACCTTGTTAAATATTTGGTATGCTAACTAGAGCCACAGGTGTTAACATGCATCGTCAGTGTTTTTCCACACAGGTATGATGATTTTCATACTGTTGATTCAAAAATGCAAGTTAACTGGTAGTGTTGACCAAAGGCTGTGGCCCTCCAGTATGGCCACCATCACTACTTGGAAAGCTGCATTTTTTTTTCCAAAGTTTTCATTGCTTTGTCTGATCTGGCAAATGGGAACTCTTAGAATAGGAATTTCAGCTTTTATTAGAATTTGTAAACTTTTAATGGATGTTTAAAGATGTTGCTGTAAATATCACAGTTGTATTTTATTCAAATTCACTGCCATTTTCAAATATTTATATCAACATTAGAATTGTTGTCAAATAATATGTGTTTGTCCAGCCAGTACTATAACTTTTCAGTGTATGGAAAGTAATAGCTATTTTCACATCACAGTCCACAGCCTTTTCCCCATGCTCTTCTAAATTTCATACACATGTAACGGAAAATTACAATATTGTCCTGGATATGAGCTACTGTATATGTTGTCCATATAACTGATAACAAGATGTTGGTTCTAAGGTACTGGCTTCTGCTGAGTGTTATGGGATGTGAACACACTGTCTGGCATTTCAGCTCTGGCTCACCACGGTCCAGTGTAACACTCATTGTGTTTCAACCCTTCTCTCTCCTCTTCTGCCCCACCCTGTGTCGGTGTTTTATGTATGTCTCCAGCCTACATAGACCAGGTAGACATAGCCACTCAGGGCTGGTTCATCGGCTTGATGTGTGCTATTGCCCTGATCATACTGATCGTCCTCATCGTCTGCTTCATCAAGAGGAGTCGTGGGGGCAAATATCCAGGTAAGGCCTGATTCTAGAGCTGACAAGCATGCACTTGAATTGGGACAACATCAATAGGATGGAGGTACTGATTGCTAAATATTTTCTAGAGAATTCTCCTAGCATAGTTAGAATGCTCTGTCACAGTAATCAAGAACAATACTTCCCACTGTATTTCATGAACAGATTGCTAGAGAATTCAAATGTGAATAAATTCTGTTTACTGAATTTGATTACAAAGATAAAATGCTTCCGTACCACAGTGATTGGAAGAGAATTTAAATGCATGGATGCTTCTTACTGCATGCAATAATTTACTCTGATTACTAAAATGACGTCAGACACTTTAAACAGCAACACATTCTTAGCAGGTATCAAATGGGGTGATTCAGATAGCCGACTCCTCTCCTAAACTCACCATCTTTAAGTGTCAGATGTTGGTTATGACATGTTTAAATATGATCTTTTACTTGGTATGTGATGTCCAGATTTAGTAACTTATTGTTAAAGTAAATTTGGTCCATTAAAAACCACTAATGTTTTAGATGTATTAGGGCTATTTTAATGTCAGTGCTTGTTTTAACAGCAGAAATGCAAACACCTCTAGGGCTATTTAGAAGGAAAATAAATTCTGTGTCAACAATACTCAATGTTTTTAATCAGCTGCCACAGGAAAACTGAAACTACAGGGCATCATAGTAGTAAAGAAAACCAGCAAGTACTCCAGCCTGTAGAGAGCCAGTCGTGTCGTCATATCCGATTAGCCTCTATTCCACTAGCATCAGTGAATTGATGCAATCTCTCATTACATTTTTTCATTGGTCATTGTAAGACAAGCCATCAACCACTACAACACATGCTGCTGAAAACTGTAAACTTTTGTGGTTTTAACAAGGTTAATTTATTTTCCGAGGTAGCAAGTAACTAAGTAAATTTACCAAAATACTGTGCTTAAGTACAATTTTGAGGTGTCTGTACTTTACTTTTCTGCTACTTCATACTTTGACTTAATTACATGTCAAAAATATTGTACTTCCTACATTTATGATAGCTTTACTTTTTAAGAATGAGATTAATAAAAACAAAACAGTACAATCATAGGACTTCATTGATCCCTGGTGGGAAATACACAAGCTACACAGCAGTATGTAAAGTACTTAAATGAATAGCATACAAGGCAGTTTATATTAGCTCCACTATCACCAGCTGCAACATTAAATGTGAAATTCACAATAGCGCATCAGCAATTATACAGGGGTGCCCACACTTTTTCGCCTTACAATATACTTTTCAAATGACCAAGTCAAAATGGTCAACCTGCGCATGCCCACACACACACACACACACACACAAAATATATATATGAATGAGTATCATAGTTTTTATGAATGGTCTGAAAGTGCCGCTCCACATTTCCCTTCTCTGGAATAGTGATGGTAGATTGGTACATCAAGCAAATGCGTTTCAAATATAACATTGTGAAAAAAAAGTCCTCCTCCCATTCCGCATGGAATGTTTTCGGTACGTTTCCGGTTTCTTACTTGATTCGGCTCCCCCACTCATTTTACACCCTTTAGTAGAAATTAATTCGAAGCCAACAAGGTAGTTCGCTCACTGGAGTTTTGCAGTAGCTCGTGCGGTTGACTGTGCATGCTTGGTGACTCAGACTGGCTGCCCTGCATATCAATCAAGTAGCAAATGCCATAGGGAGGATGGATGACAGGCTATATAGGAATGATAGGGGTCGCCACAGCGAATCGTCACACTGACCATTCGCATGTTAACATTTGGCACGCGTTTTACGCCTAATACATCACCACTACCTTTGCGATCGACTGGGCACCCCTGCAATAGGATATACAGGTGCTCCTCAATCAATTTGAATATCGTGGAAAAGTCCATTTATTTCAGTAATTCAACTCAAATAGTGAAACTTGTGTATTATATAAATTCAGTACACACAGACTGAAGTCGTTTAAGCTGTTGGGTCTTTTAATTGTGATGATTTTGGCCCACATTTAACAAAAACCCACCAAATCACAATCTCAATAAATTAGAATATGGTGACATGCCACTCAGCTAGTCAACTCAAAACACCTGCAAAGGTGTCCTGAGCCTTCAAAATGGTCACTCAGTTTGGCTCACTAGGCTACACAATCATGGGGAAGACTGCTGATCTGACAGTTGTCCAGAAGACAATCAT